TGGCTTGATTAAGCACCCTACACCTTCCCACGGTTTTCGCATTCGGTGGCGATGCCAGATGTTAAGGCAAATTATTGATANCGTCGGGACCCACACCTTGCACGCAAGCAGCATATTGCAGCCAGCTGTATGAAATGGCGCGCGCATTCGAACAGCTCGTCCAAGTACCCCTTCCAAGCAGCTTTTTTCGTAACATTCTCGCACACCAAATAATTTTACTTGTTTTTAAAAACTTCTAAATATGCAAATTATCGCGTTTTCTTCGCCACTTTTACACTATCCTAGACTATCTCTTCTGTAACTCGTCTAAAACTAGATACCTCGAAATCATCGTGAACTGTGCCTCCGAAGTATTCAGTGGTCTGTCAGTGAGGTCTAGTTGGCCTCCTGTGAATTCCACCCCATGAATCACGAAGGCGACAGGGAACCGCTTTAGTCACAGCTCTACATGTGAGACTTCAAGTATTTATCTATTCATAACCGTATCCCCATCAGAAAGGGGACCTATTGTTGCAGAGCGGGCCTATTGTAGGGACAAACCTATCATTACATTCCTCTCAAAGATTACTGCGCAAATATAAATGTAACCGCTCGAATTGATAAGAAGTTTGAGTTTTCATGCCGCGCGATGAAGTGGTGAGTACATCCAGTTGTTTGTTTCATTAAGCTTTAGATGAGACTTCCTTTTGCAAGTTTGTTTTATTACTTTTGTCGGTAATATTTAATTTGTCAAACAAATTATTAAAATATTTATATTTTATGAATGATTTTGAAAAATTTGATATTTCAAAACAAAAATTGCTCTAGATAAGCAACGTTATGGAGTTCTTTTTGGAGAGTTAGGTTCTAGGGAGTTCTATGACAAATTGCTGATTTACTTTATTATTTTTTAGCAATAATATTGAATTCAGCGAGAAATCATTGAAGTATTTGTATTTTGTGAAATATTTTGAAATTTTTGATATTTTGAAACGAAAAAGGCTGTGGGAAAGCTAAGTGGATGGTGTTTTCGGGAAACTCCGGACTGCAGTTGCTCTCACCGCTTCCTTGCTACCTTATCCTACCTTTTTGGTAGGTAAAACTACCTTGGCACGTATCCACAACCTACAAAGTCGAAAAACTCCTACTATTTTATGGGCAAAGGCGATTTCTGCTCATTTGGCACGTTCCAGATTGTTGGTGTGCTGTTATCTGGGTTTTTTTCTTGAATTTCGTCCGAAGGGTGTTGTCAAAGGCATTGGAATTATCTTTATTACTTCGAATTGGAGTTAATGTTCTCTGCAAATACTTTTCATTGCTTTTCTTATACGGTACTTGTTGCATTTAATCAGTTATAATCCAATAAAAACATTCCAACACTGACACATCAATGTGGGAACACTATTAACTTGGTGGCCTGATAAAAATGAAATACTCATCCACCTTTGAAGAGAGTGGCTTCATAAAAACACCCAAATCTAAATCAAGGGAATTGCCCTTGATCAACAATCTGTTCCGAGAAATCACGTGATTACCCTCCCACACTGGCGTTTGGCTTGATTAAGCACCCTACACCTTCCCACGGTTTTCTCCCTCGGTGGCGATGCCAGATGTTAAGGCAAATTATTGATATCCACTCTTCCCCTGTTCCTTGTTCCAAAGTTTTCTTTTTACATGACACTTGTTGCTTTTGATCAGCTATAACTCAGCTCTGATCATTTTAACCCCGCAATAACATCCCAGAATGGTCCATCAAAATGGATACCATATCGAACTGTTGGATTGATAGAAATGAAATCGTCGTCTGGGCCCAAAGCATGAGCCTACTCAAATAAAACATCACCTAGCTCTAGGACAGGAGAATGTTGGGGGATCAGCGATCACCTTAGAAATGGTTCCTACATTGACTTTTGACCTGATGATAGGTTCTCCAAGCTCCCACTTGGATTTCTTTCACAGTGTCAGAAGCGGCTGTCAGCCAAAGCGTTGATTCTCACCGTGCTATTCCAGCTTTCGGAGTTTTTGAAACGAATTTAAGTCGACTAATGAATCCAAACTGTCCAGGTGGGTCAGGTGGGCGATATCGGCGAATCTCATCGAATTTCTACAAATCGGGAACGCATACCTGAAGGGGCCATTCTGTACTAGGGAGCGACTCCCGGCCACCTCGATGAATTCTTTGCTTGCAGCGGCTTCTCGACCCAACAGATCACTGCCGATAAGGTCCAACTTCTTGCATCAGTGTAATACTGAATGGCCAAATTTGTTTAATAATTCAGCACTTGATATAAGTTTCATCATTCTGTTTTGGTTATTTTATGTGTCGGCTCCTTTGAGCGTATGGAGACAACACAGTGACAAACAATCAACAACTAGCCAGTCAAAACAAATTCGAAAGAGACAAGGATACTGAATGAAACACTAATTGGCTGTGGCACGTAGGAGCATGTCGGCAACACATCTAGAAGGCTCTGTGGATCTGATTCACAATTTTTTTTTCGAAGTTCCCGCAATCTTTCAACTGATACTCGATACTATAAGCCAGAACGCTTGATATGCCGACCTCCTCTCTTACAGTTCTATTGAAGGTGAGCAAAAATTTGAAAATCAATTTGTGATTCGGTATCGAGGCCAGCAAGGGTAAACGCCCAAGTGATCAAACTAATCAGTGCTTTTCATGATTAATAGCCCTTTTTCAAAAATTCCTATCAAATTTTGTCCTACTAATAACGACTGGGTCCAAATCCTGGAACAAGTAATACAATTGGAAGCTTTTACGCAAAATGATATACACGATGGTACTCTGTGATGTAGTATTTCTTATAATGTTGTACAGAAATAATAGGAATCATGCAAAGGGCTCCCGACAGCCAAAACAATCCGTGGGTCGAAACCCGTCTAGGCTACTCAACTTTCATTCAACTAAGGCAGTCTAATTGATACCGAACACGTCTGAGATGAAAGCACTGGATGATCTATCAGCTGATCCCTCTAGACCATTGTAAAAACCCCTTTGTGCATTCAAAGGTCGCTCGATTCAGAGTGGAAGGTGAATGCATGGCTCACAGCAAAACAGGATCGATCAGAAAAACCTGCCTCCAATTTGATGTTCCCACTTGGACCCTAAGTTCATAGTAGAGAACATTGTTTCCATACAAATGAGAGGTCTTTCTACTATCGGACTATTTGCAAAACGGTGCTACCCTTGTGCCAATGACTTATCAAAAGTCATAAAAAAACCCGGACTGTTTACAAGCCCAGCAGCAAATTGTTGTGAGAATGTGCCACTTCAAGCTGCCTGTGCCAATGAGAACAGAGAAAATGAGTAGCAGGTAAGTCGATTACTCGTATACGACTTGTGGACTCAGTTATTCTCCTGCTCCGTGTGGTGGTGCTCCCACTGGTAACACATTATCAGCCATTCATCAGCTGCAGTTTTTTAAAAAATGTTTTAAGCTTAACTACGGGAAATGCGAGAAATTTGGGTGAGTGAGAGCATCTTCTGATTCAAAATTTATTCTAAAATATCCTTCTTTCCCCAGCAGAGTGTTTAAAACAACCCCATTCTCATACATATACGGCTTTGCCCAACATTTTTCTATACATATGAATATTTTATATCATGATCATAAAAAGCCTATTAATATGTTTTTGGCATTTGATTGATCCCTCTTAGGAATGCGTTCCCACATTTGTCTTCCATTCAGAAGTGTAGTTGTTTTTTTTTTG